AGATGGCAACTCCCGCCCTAGACAGCTCGCCCTAGCGAGGGATCTCTGTGGCCTCCGGGAACTGGTGACGCCACGCGTCCGTCACGCGGCCAAAGCAGCGCTGGGTGGGGTGCGCACCCCCACACTGCTCACCCGCACGGTCGCCGGTGCGCAGGACGTAGGTGCACGGACCAAAGCCCCCACCCCGCTGGCGTGCAGTGTACCACTCACGGAGCTGCTGAGGGGACAGGGTCTCACGACCGCGCTGCTGCTGCTGGCGTTGATCACCACCGAAGCCACTCCTCTGCGCACACCCGCAACCACCTCCACCGCCACCCCCGCCGCCTCCGCCGCCTCCGCCGCCTCCGCTACTTCCGCCGCCTCCGCCGCCTCCTCCACCGCCACCACCTCTGCCACCTCCGCTCCCACCGCCACCGCCGCCGCCGCCTCCGCTTCCACTGCCGCCACCGTTACCTCCACCTCCACCTCCACTCCCACCGCCACCCCCACTCCCCCCGCCGCCTCCACCTCCACCTCCACCGCCCCCGCTCGCTCCTCCAGTGCCCCTGCCCCCCTTGCCCTTGCCAGAGCGGCGTCTCCCGCTAGGGGCAGACGCCGCACCGACAAACTCAAGACCAAGGAGGTCGACCGCAGCAGCAGAGGCAACAGAGGGCAGAAGGGGGGAGGGGGAACATCCCTCAAAGATGGGGGTGCGCGGGTCACCACGAGAGGCCCCTACAGCGACTATGCTCTTCTCGGCCGCAAGGAGGGACTTCTCGAGGAGGTCAACAGTGAGAGTGGTGGGACAGACTGAGAGGAAGTGGTCCCTGACTACGCGAAGGGAGTCAGGGAGGCGAGTGACTATGTAGTAGAGAGTGATGTACATGGGGGGGGGGGGGGGTTCTTGGCGCAGAAGTCAGCAGGAAGCGCAGCGCGGTAGCGAGTGTCTCTAGTGCGGAGGTGCGTAATGAGGTCAGCGACTGTGGGAAAGGCAGCAAGGTCAGGGAAGAGGTACGGTAGCATGAGATGGCTTAGTGCAGCAGTGGCAGGGGAAGAGTAGCGTGCAACTACAGCGTCGTACAAGGTCTGAGCACTCTTGTACTGACTAAAGTGCGCACGCTCAGAGGTAGGCAGGTGGCGACGCACAGCAAGACGTGCAGCAGCATCGCGCGTGGCCCACTGTGAGCGAACAGTGGCGTCAGCATCAGCAGCAGGAGCAGGAGAGGCACCAGAGGTGAGGTCAAAGAGGGAGAGACCGTCTGCCCTATCGCGTTGTAAGAACAGCTGCAGGTCATCTACCCAGACGTCAAAGTCAATGGCTCGACCCTCGGCGTCAAAAGCGAGGACACTAGGGGTAGCCATGATAACAGTAGACTAGCAGCGCACACAGTAGGGAAAGGGAAGTGCAGTGACAGAGGCGCTGTGATTACCGGACGGGGCTGCTCGGGCGGCTCGGAGGTAGGGCGGCTCGGCGGCCCGGTGGCTCGGCTGCACGGCGGCTCGGCTGCAGGGCGGCTCGGCTGCTGGGCGGCTCGGCTGCAGGGCGGCTCGGTTGCTCGGCTGCTGGGCGACTCGGCTGCAGGGCGGCTCGACAGCTCGGCTGTCCGGCTGCTCAGCTGCTGGGCGGCTCAGCTGTGCTGCTGTACGGCGGCGCGGCGGTCGGCTGCTCGGCTAGGTGAGGCAGCTTGGGCGGCTCGGGTGGCGGGTGGCGCTGCAGCAGATGACGGGGCGCAGGTAGGGCGACGGGGCCGGGGCCGGGGCGCAGGTAGGGCGACGGGGCCGGGGTCAGAGGTGGGGCGACGGGGCCGGGGTTGCAAGCAGGGCGACGGGGCCGGGGCCGGGGCGCAGGTAGGGCGACGGGGCTAGGGCCGGAGCCGCAGGTATGGGGACGGGGCCAGGGTCGCAGGTGGGGCGACGGGGCCGGGGTCGCAGGTAGGGCGACGGGGCCGGGGCGCAGGTAGGGTGACGGGGCCGGGGCGCAGGTAGGGCGACGGGGCCGGGGCGCAGGTAGGGCGACGGGGCCGAGGCGCAGGTAGGGCGACGGGGTCGCTAGGGCGACGAATCAGGGGTCGCTAAGGCGGCGCGACTTGGCCGCTAGGGCGGCTCGACGAAGTCAGAGAGGGGAGCGCGACTCGGGCTGAGCGCGCTACGGGCAGGAAAAAACTTTCGACTTGGTGGGCCCTAGGCACAGTTCCCATGAGGGAACCTGCTCGATACCATGAGAAAACTGAAACGAGAATGGTGCACAAAGGAATGGAGTGTGGTACAAATATGCAACCCTAGAAATGTGTACCCCATATGGGCTACCCCACTACAGCCTACAGAACATTATGAGGTTACGCGAAAGTCAAAGGTCAGCAACCTTTGACCTGACAAATACAGCGCGACAGCAAGGACACACAACTGACTCGTTACAGAGCAGTTGCCCGAGTTGTCACTGTATCGAACTGCAACAGCAACAGTAAAGTAGTTATAAATGTGTCTTTTCATATTTCCTGTATTCATATATAGTCTTGTATCTCTTTGCTTTAAGCAACTTACTTTGCCCTCACATACTAGCGCAAGGTGGTTCACAACCCTTTAACTAATGCTTCCGCTACTACACCAACTCTACCCAGAGTTCACCCCTGCAAAGATCCAAAGGGGCTTTTCAGCCCAACATGGTATGAGAGCAATCAGGGGGGATTCAACTTCTATACCGACAATATCAATCAGCATGGCTACACAAAAGGAAAGGAGCAACTCCAACGGCTCCCAGGGCACTACTCCTACTCCACCTCCTGCCTCTGGCCTACAGACAGAGGAGGGCACGGCAACAAGACCCAGAGCAACATCTACCAAGACTCCCGCGAATCAACCTGCAGACTTCGACCAGAGCATGATGGAGAAGTTTTTCTCCTTCATGTCTTTCTACGAGCAACACCAGCAATCGGCACCTGCGCAGTCACACAACAGCAACAACAACAGAGCAACACCCATGAGTCTCGACGGCTCATCATATGCGCAAGGAAATCAACAACAGCAGCCTACCTTTGCTCCATACGAGCGCGGGTCCATCCGCTTTATGCCACACCCACAGCCTTCACCTGGACAAGAAAAATCACTGGACGCATTACAAGTTCAGTCGCAGTTCGCACACGTTCTGAAGATGCAGACGTCAAGACCCTTCGATGGAAAGGACTTCTTCACCTGGTCGTTCGAGTTCGAGCTGATGATGGAAGGCGCGCAGATACTCGGGTTCTTCGACGGGTCTTTGCCATACCCAACAAACGGCACACAGTACGAGAAGCAGCAGTACACCTATCAGTCAATGATGGCGTACACGATCCTACTGAGGAATATCACCCCGACTCAACAGCAGAACATAAGGTCTTACCGAGGTTACGGCAACTCCGCGGAGCTCGCGTACAACCACCTGAAGAGCCTGTATCAAGCAGCAGACAGCGTAAGCCAAAGTCGGTTAATGGCGCAACTGACAACGGTTGAAATGAAACCAGGGAAGAAAGGAATGGTGTATATCAGTCGATGTCGCAAGTTGCGCGACAAGCTTCTTCGATGCGGAGGATCGATTTCTGAAGACGCCTTCATGACAGTCATCATCGGCGGCCTCGGTCCTCAATGGCGCGCCACAAAGGCCATTCTCCGAGCTCACGGAAGAATCTCCGAAGCAGCGCTCTGCGCCGAAATCCACGCCGAGCAGCAAGACATGGACCTGCAAGAAGAACGACACAAAAAGAAGACATCAGCACCGGAATTTGCGTTCCACACTCAGCGACGCTACAACAACAACAACAACAACAACAACAACCGGCAGCAACAACCGAAGCCAGTACCTCTGTTTGTCAGAACATTATAGCTTATACATTTGTGTAGGCTGTAGTGGGGTAGCCCATAAGGGGTAGAACCCAATTGAGGTTAGTACTTGTACCCAACTGTTTCACAGTTCATCCATTCCATTCTCACTTCTCGTCATGGTATCGAGTAGGTTCCCGAGTGGGAATACTGCCTAGGGCCCACCACGAACTTTTTTTCCTTCCGTGCCCAGAGCGCGCTTAGCTCCTAACCCGAGTAGCACCTCGAGCCGCCTTAGTGGCCCCTATTGGCCGCCCTTACTGCCCCTCGAGCCGCCCGCTACGGCCACGCTTAGGCCCCGTCGGCCCCGCTACGGCCCCGCTTAGGCCTCGCTACGGCCCCGCTACGGCCCCGCTACGGCCCCGTCGGCCCCGCTTAGGCCCCGCTACGGCCCCGCTACGGCACCGTCGGCCCCGCTTAGGCCCCGCTACGGCCCCGCTACGGCCCCGTCGGCCCCATCGGCCCCGCTACGGCCCCGCTACGACCCCGCTACGGCCCCGCTACGGCCCCGCTACGGCCCCGCTACGGCCCCGTCGGCCCCGCTTAGGCCCCGCTACGGCCCCGCTACGGCCCCGCTACGGCCCCGTTGGCCCCGTCGACCCCACTTAGGCCCCGTCGGCCCCGTCGCGGCCTCGCTCAGTCCTCGCTTCGGCCCCGTCGGCCCCGCTTAGGCCCCGCTGCGGCCCCGCTACGGCCCCGTCGCGGCCCCGCTTCGGCCCCGTCGGCCCCTCTACGGCCCCACTTAGGCCCCGCTTCGGCCCCGTCGGCCCCGCTACGGCCCGCTTAGGCCCCGCTACGGCCCCGTCGCGGCCCCGCTACGTCGCCCACTTCGGCCCCGTCGCCACCGCGGCCCGCCCACCCTTGCGGCCCGCCGCCACCTGCAACCTCGCCACCACCTGCGACCGCGCCTCCCAGCGCCCGCAGCGCCGAGCAGCCAAACCGCCGGCCACCTGAGCCGCCCGACCGCCCGAGCCGCCCAGCAGCCGAGCCGCCCGACAGCCGAGCCTCCCAGCACCGTGCAGCCGAGCCGTCCAGCAGCCGAGCCGCCCAGCAGCCGAGCCGCCCTGCAGCCGAGCCGCTCGGCAGCCAAGCCGCCGATCAGCCCGATCGCTCCACCTACCTGGTAAGAGCACAGTCTCTGCCACTACACTGCCCTGCCTACTGCTGTTATGGCTTCCCCTAGCGTTCTCACCTTTGACGCTGAGGGTCGGGCAGTGGACTTTGAGGTCTGGGTAGATGATCTGCAGCTTTTCCTGCAGTGCGATAGGGCAGACGGCCTCTCCCTGTTTGACCTCACTTCTGGTGCCTCCCCTGCCCCTGCTGCTAATGCTGACGCCACTGTTCGCTCACAGTGGGCCACACGTGACGCTGCTGCTCGCCTTGCTGTGCGCCGCCACTTACCGACCACTTAGCGTGCACACTTTAGCCAGTACAAGAGTGCTCAGACCTTGTACGACGCTGTAGTTGCACGCTACTCTTCCCCTGCCACTGCTGCACTGAGCCGCCTCATGCTACTGTACCTCTTCCCTGACCTTGCTGCCTTTCCCACAGTCGCTGACCTCATTACGCACCTCCCCACTAGTGACACTCGCTACCGCGCTGCGCTTCCTGCTGAGTTCTGCGCCAAGAACCCCCCCCCCATGTACATCACCCTCTACTACATAGTCACCCGTCTCCCTGACTCTCCGTGGAGTCAGGGACCGCTTCCTCTCTGTTTGCCCCACCACTCTCACCGTTGACCTCCTCGAGAAGGCCCTCCTAGCGATACAGAAGAGCATAGTCGCTGTAGGAGCCTCTCGTGGTGACCCTCGCACCCCCGTCTTTGAGGGGTGTTCTTCCTCCCCTCTCTTGCCCTCTGTTGCCTCTGCTGCTGCGGGCGACCTCGTTGGTTTCGAGTCGGTCGGCGCTGCATCTGCCCCGAGCGGGAGACGCCGCACCGGCAAGGGCAAGGGGGGCAAGAGCACTGGAGAGGGTGGAGGGGGCGGTGGAGGTGGTGGTGGAGGCGGTGGAGGGAGTGGGGGTGGTGGTGGGAGTGGTGCTGGGGGTGGCGGCGGCGGCGGCAGCAGTGGAGGCGGCGGAGGCGGTGGAGGTGGCGGAGGGAGCGGAGGCGGCGGAGGTAGTGGAGGAGGCGGAGGTGGAGGAGGCGGCGGAGGCAGCGGAGGCGGCGGCGGCGGCGGAGGCGGTGGTGGTGGAGCGAGTCGCTACTCTGCGCCGAGGAGTGGCGCCGGTGGTGGTGAGCGCTAGCAGCAGCAGCGGAGTGGTGTGACCCTGTCCCCTCAGCAGCTTTGTGAGTGGTACACTGCACGCCAGCGCGGTGGGGGTTTTGGTCCCTGCTCTTACGTTCTCCGTACCGGCGACCGCACTGGTGAGCAGTGCGGAGGTCCGCACTCCACCCAGCGCTGCTTTGGTCGCCTGACGGACGCGTGGCGTCGCCAGTTCCCTGAGGCGTCAGAGATCCCTCGCTGGGGAGATCTGGCTAAGGCCGGGGCTACTATCTTTGATCTTGACTTTGATGCTATTCTTGCTGCCATGTATGCTGTTGCTGATAGTGTTGAGGGTGCCTGTTACCTGTGTGTACCGCCTGACCCGGGCATTGAGGCTGCTGCGCTAGGTGCTGGTGAGACTGCTGCTCTAGGTGCTAGTGCGTCTGCTGTCCCAGGTGCTAGTGCGTCTGCCGCCCAAGGTGCTGGTGAGTCTGCTCTCTCAGGTACTACGTCGGCTCAGGCCTTCCACACCTTCACCCTGGACTCAGGTAGCTGCGTCGAGTCAGGTGTTTGCTGCGGCGTCCAGGTCTGGTTCTGAGTCTGCCCCCTGCTCGTGTCGTCTGCTGTCCCACCAAACTCTCCTTTGGCACCACCGCCTTGGTCACCCCTCCTTGCCTCGTCTCCGAGGCATGGCCTCCCGTGTCCTTGTCTCTGGTCTTCCTTGGTCTCTCCCTCCCCTTCCTCCGGGGCCTGGTCCTACCTGCGTCCCCTGCGTCAAGGGGCGACAGCGCGCCGCCCCTCACTCCTCCGAGTTTCCTCCGACAGAGGCTCCGCTGCAGACTCTACACATGGACGTGTGGGGCCCAGCCCGCGTCAGTGGGCAGGGGAGAGAGCGGTACTTTCTGCTGGTCATTGATGACTACTCGCGTTACACCACAGTCTTCCCCTTGCGCAGCAAGGGTGACGTCACTGAGGTGTTGATCGACTGGATCTGCGCAGCTCGTCTCCAGCTCAGAGAGAGTTTCGGCTCGGACTTTCCTATTTTGCGTCTGCACTCGGACAGCGGAGGGGAGTTTTCCTCTGCCCGTCTGGGAGCCTTCTGTCGGGCATAGGGCATCCGCCAGACCTTCACGCTTCCGGCCTCTCCACAGCAAAATGGGATTGCTGAGCGCCGCATTGGCATGGTCATGGACGTCGCGCGTACGTCCATGATGCATGCGGCTGCCCCCCATTTTCTGTGGCCATTTGCGGTTCAGTACGCGGCGCATCAACTCAACCTTCAGCCCCGGGTCTCCTTCCCAAAGACCTCCCCCGCCTTGTGGTTGACAGGGAAGGTTGGCGATGCATCTTCGTTTCGGGTCTGGGGATCTCGGGCGTTTGTCCGCGACTTGTCTGCGGACAAGCTGTCCCCCCATGCTGTTCCTTGCGTCTTCCTTGGCTTCCCCCCTGACGCGCCTGGCTGGCAGTTTTACCACCCCACCACGCGCCGTGTTCTGTCCTCCCAGGACGTCACCTTTGACGAGTCGGTGCCTTACTACCGTCTCTTCCCCTACCGCACTGCGCCCCTCCCCCCGCCGCCGCTCTTCCTTGCGCCAGGTGCTACCAAGGTAGACCCCCTCCTTCCTCAGGGTCCTGCCCCTTCAGGTGTGTCCCAGGTAGACGCAGTCGAGCCTGTCGAGGTAGCTGTTGACTCTGGTGCTGCTAGAGGTGCTGAGCCTGCGGGTGCTGGGTCTGCGGGTGCCGGGTCTGGGGGTGCTGAGTCTGGGGGTGCTGAGACTGGAGGTACTGAGCCTGGGGGTGCTGAGCCAGGGGGTGCTGAGTCTGGGGGTGCGGAGCCTGGGTGTGCTGGGTCTGCTCGTGTGGCCGCCGGCGGTACTTCGTCGATGCGGGAGCCGCTCTCTCCACAGGAGCTGCGCGTGTGGTTCGCCCGCCGCTGGAGACGTGCTGTTGAGTCTGGGGGTACTGCTGGAGCTGCTGGGGGTGTTGGCGCTGGTGTTTCTACTGGTGCTGGTGCGTCTGGGGGTGCTGCTGAGGCAGCTGGTGCTGACGGTCCTACTGGAGTTGGTGCTATTGGAGCTGGAGCTGCTGGGGGTGTTGGCGCTGGTGTTTCTACTGGTGCTGGTGCGTCTGGGGGTGCTGCTGAGGCAGCTGGTGCTGACGGTCCTACTGGAGTTGGTGCTGCTGGAGCTGGAGCTGCTTGGGGTGTTGGCGCTGCCGGTGCTGCTGGCACTGGTGCTTGTGGGGTACTGGAGTTGGCGCTGTTGGAGCTAGAGGTTCTGCTGGCGCTGGTGCTGCTTCTGGGGGTAGTGGTGCCGTACTTGCTGGTTCCGGAGGCGCTGAGCGGCCGAGGCCGTACTTCGTTCTGCTCCTGGAGCAGGTTCTTGGTCTCCCGCCCTCTACTGGTCCTACTCCTCCCCTAGAGTGTCCACCGCCTGTCCAGTCGCAGTCACAGTTACCGCCCGCCTCCCCTCTACCTGCTCCTTCTCCCTACACTGGTCCTACTGGAGGTCTTGCTGAGCGTCGTGAGCCTGCGTCTCGTCCCGCGTCACCTGTTCATGCTGCTTGCACTAGTGGTCGTACTGCACGTCCGCGTCCTCCTGCGGTCCCCGGCACACACCAGATGGCACTGCGTCCTTCCACTGCTCCTCTGCGTGTCCCGTTGCCGTCTCCTCCAGAGTCCTCTCTTCCTTCTCTTACTAACCCGGAGTCTGACTCTCTTCGTGCTGCTAGTCCTTCGGTCACGCGCCTTCTTGCTATTTTCGTCACTGACCCTTCCTTTGAGTGTGCTGCTGCGTGTGCTCTCGTTGCTGAGCTTGTCGACTTCGCTGCTCGCTGTCGTCTAGACTACGCTGCTAGTCTTGTTGCTGAGTCTGAGTCTTTCTGTCCTCCGTCCATCGGGGGTGAGTGTGCTCTTAGCACGGACGTCCTTGAGGACAGGCAGGAGGAGTTCCAGTGCTTTGCGGCTGCTTTGTCCCATCTCGTGTCCACGCTGATTGCCCCTGAGGGAGACCCGGATGCACTAGACATCCCGACTCCTCGATCGTACGCTGAGGCGATCGAGGGTCGCTACTCCTCTCAGTGGCAGTCGGCCATGGACGCAGAGATGGCTTCCTGGAAGTCCACAGGCACCTACGTCGACGAGGTTCCCCCACCTGGGGCGAATATCGTTAGTAGGATGTGGATCTTCAGGGTGAAGCGGCCGCCGGGCTCTCCGCCTGTCTTCAAGGCGCGTTACGTGGCTCGAGGCTTCAGTCAGCGGCAGGGAGTTGACTACTTTCAGACCTTCTCTCCCACCCCGAAGATGACCACTCTTCGGGTGCTGCTGCACATAGCCGCTCAGCGCGACTACGAGCTTCACTCTCTTGACTTCAGCACTGCTTTCCTGGCACGAGGGCAGCCTGCACGAGGAGATCTGGCTGCGCCGCCCTCCTGGCTTCACTGGGTCATTTCCTCCTAGCACCGAGTGGAGCCTCCGACGGCCAGTCTACGGTCTCCGCCAGGCGCCCGTGAGTGGCACGACACACTGAGGACTACACTTGCGGCTCTTGGGTTTGCTCCTTCTACAGCCGACCCGTCGCTGTTTCTGCGCACCGACACCTCTTTGCCGCCGTTCTACATCCTTGTGTACGTCGACGACCTGGTCTTTGCCACTGCTGACACTGCTGGACTCGCCCACGTGAAGTCCGAGCTGCAGAAGAGACACACGTTCACAGACCTGGGTGAACTGCGCAGCTACCTTGGCTTGCAGATCACCCGGGACAGAGCACAGCGTACCATTACCCTGACTCAGTCACACATGGTGCAGCAGGTTCTTCAGCGCTTCGGCTTCACGTACTCCTCGCCTCAGGCCACTCCTCTGTCTACTCGCCACTCGCTCTCAGCTCTGCCTTCGGATGAGTCCGTAGAGTCGAGTGGCCCGTACCCAGAGCTTGTTGGCTGCCTCATGTACCTGATGACCTGCACACGACCTGACCTTGCATACCCTCTTAGCATTCTCGCACGCTGTGTTGCTCCTGGGAGACACCGACCAGAGCACATGGCTGCAGCGAAGAGGGTGCTGCGCTACGTGTGCAGTACGTCGGGCATGGGGCTAGTGCTTGGAGGGCGACGTCGAATAGTCCTCACAGGTCACGCTGACGCTTCTTGGGCTGACGACCAGGCTATGCAGCGGTCGTCACAGGGTTATACCTTCAGCCTTGGCTCCGGCTCTGTTTCGTGGCGGTCTACCCGCTCGTCCTCTGTTCTCGGCTCCAGCTGTGAGGCTGAGATCTACGCAGGGGCCATTGCTGCACAGGAGCTACGCTGGCTCACTCACTTGCTGAGTGACCTAGGAGAGCCGCCTCGTTCTCCTCCAGTTCTGTACGTAGACAACAAGGCCATGCTGGCCTTGTGTTGGGAACAGAGACTGGAGCACAGAACGAAGCACATTGCTCTCCGCTACTTCCTGTCTCGTGAGCTGCAGCAGCGTGGTCAGCTCCACCTCACCTACGTGGCCTCTGAGGGCAACACTGCTGATATCTTCACCAAGGCCCTTCCGCCTTGTGATCATCAGCGCTTCTGTACTGTGCTAGGTCTTGTGCCTACCTGGCCTTACTTGCTCACTTCTTGATCTTGTTTGTACTGTCTTCTTTCTATACCTGCCCTTGCTTGTTTTACCTTTATATATATGACCTTGCATGTGAACTGGCCTTGTGGCCTTACTCTTGTGCTCGGAATGTGTGGTGACTTTGTGATCCACCCTGAGCTTGCTTTGCTTTGCTTTGCTTTGCTTTGCTTGACTGGTCTTGTGACCACTTGTTCTCCCCCACTTTGCCTATGGGGGTGTGTCAGAACATTATAGCTTATACATTTGTGTAGGCTGTAGTGGGGTAGCCCATAAGGGGTACAACCCAATTAGGGTTAGTACTTGTACCCAACTGTTTCATAGTTCATCCATTCCATTCTCACTTCTCGTCACTGTTCTGCCACATCTGCAAAACTTCAGGACACCCGCGTACGCACTGCCCGAATCGTCAACAGTCAACAACTCCACAGCGGCAACTTCGACCTTCAAGCAGCCAAATCGCCTCAACGCAAGCAAATCCCACGACTCAGATTCAAGCCTCAACGACCTCAACATTACAACCTGCACAAGGAGCAAGAAACATCGTCAGCTGCATGGCAAAGCTGAGTGACTCCTGCATCACCGAGTCACCACCACACTACTCACCGGAAGAACAACTCGACGAAACCACACCCCGCCGCGAGTCACTTCAACCGAACCCGACATACGCCGCCATCGCCCAAAGCGAACCATCCGGAAAGGACACATGGTTCTTGGACAGTTGCTGCGGACATCACATGTGCTCCTCGGGACGCTTCGTTCAACGAGAACACCAACTTCAACGCGAAGTTGTCATTACAGTCGCCAACAATCAGAACCTGCGAACACGACGACAAGGCGTAGTTCAACTTCAGTCAAGGGAAACAAACGTTATACTGTAGATGTCAAAAGTACTAATCGCGGAGGGACTCGGCTACAACTTACTGAGCGTCAGTCAGCTAATGGCGAAAGGGATTCACCTCGAAGCAGACAGCACCACCCAAGAATTCAAGCTGTATCACGGGAGAGGAGGACTCTACATCGGCAAGGCGGTCCTCAAGAACAACGTCTTCGTTCTTGACTTCGTTCCTGATCTCGGCACCGCTGACAGCGACACCATCGTTAACTTCACCAACTGGACACACCCTCCAGACCTTGATCGAGACTTCAGTCCAGAAGGCTTCTGGTATTCACACACCATCCCCGAAGCAGAAAGAACAAAGGCGTTAGCAAAAATTCAGACAACATAAGCAGCAGCAGAAACAACATCAGCAGCAGCAGAGACAACATCAGCAGCAGGAGAGACAACATCGGCAGCAGCAGAGACAACATCGGCAGCAGCAGAGACAACATCGACAGTAGCAGAACCATCAACGGCAGCAGCAAGAACGTCAACACCAATTGCTGGTCCTTCAACGACACCGCTCCTCATCGACGACACACCACCGACACCCGCGCAACAACTACACCCAGCACCACGAGAAGTTCATCGTAGCGCCAACTTCACCGCCAACTTCTACTCCAACTCTGATATGTACCGACGATCACCCGGACATCGCGCCGACGAAAGCACCTGACACGCAAGGATGGAACACCCAAGCAACACAGTATTAAACAATACGATAAGAGCAGGAGTACTCGACAAGGACTCACTCCTACTGACCGACGGACGAGAACTTCAACGAGTACGCGGAACGTGCTTCACCTGCCCTGAAGGTGACTTACCACATCGACCGTTTGCTTCTCATCACAACCCGAGCGCATCCGCGTACGCTCCACTCGAGAAGGTGTATAGCGACATCCTGTTCAATCGGGAACCAGGACAAGTGATATACAACTATACAATCACCTTCATCGACGCTGCCACCCGTTACGTCTCCCACCTAAACCTCCCTAGCCGCGACATGGCATTCGAAGCCTTCGTTGCTTGGCTACCAGTATCAGAGAGAGAATCGGGCGTGAAACTGAAAAGCTTCCAGTCAGACGGAGGAGGAGAATACACCTCTTAGCGATTCAAGCAGTACCTGGCGGAAAGGGGAATCAAGCGGCTCATCTCCCTTCCCTACGCCCATCAACA